GGCCCCCGCAGGGGGGGGGGGAGAGAGAGAGAGAGAGAGAGAGAGAGAGAGAGAGAGAGAGAGAGAGAGAATGCAGGCGGGACTAAGCACGTCGAGCGGGTGGGAGTAGGCCCCGGGCGTAGCGAGTAGGCAAAAGCAGGATCATAGGATCGTAGTCGCGGGAGTAGACGTGGAGTGGATGTAGGCGCGTCAAGTACCGGCCGCCCCCAAAAAAACCTTCCACGAAAAACGACGAAACACAACCAAAAAACAAAAAGGAAAAGGAAAAAGCGGAAGGGTCGTTTGGGCGAGCCAAACCGGTATCGCACGGTCAAGATTGCGGGCCGGTCACCACCTGCGAACGGCCCAGATATCAGGCCAATGAGAAAAGTTTCTCATCGACCTGCGATTTGGGCCGTCCACGGGTGGTGAACGGCCTGCAACCTGGGCCATGCGATATGACGTTAGCGGTTCTTATAGTATTGTAGATGTAGATATCGACAAACAGAACTGCCCGGTAAACCGTAGGCAAAGAGGGAGAAGAGGACAACCAATGAGGGGCTGTGACAAACTGTTTCATTGGAGTTTCACCAACTAATCAAGAGTATAGGCAATGGCTAACCGAAAGAAATGTTTCCTTTTCTCTATTTTAGACTGGGCTACCAACTGGGCCGCCCAGGTCGCCTTGGTTGCCCATGCAGCCCGGCCGGGCAAGCGCAAGGGAAGATCCCTGCAAAAAAGAATCAACAAAAATAAAACAATGTTATGCAGAAAAATAAGCTGAACATCTTTTGCCTAAAGGTCATATCGAAATTCGTTAGCAAGTTAAAAATCAAAGGTAGATTATAGACTACTACTTTTTGTTGGCTCGGTCGGGCAAGTTGTCCTGGGCCACTCTGGTAGGCTAGATTTTAGAAGTCAAGAATATTTTGTTTCAACAAATGGTTCTATATCTTTCTTCCCTCTTCCTTTGTCCCTTTAATGATTGACTCCTGACAAGACTATTATTGTGTGCATTCCCTCGAAGGTCTACTCACACCACGACTTTTCAGGATGCATCAGACCACATTTCCAGTGTCTCCTAAATTAATGGTAGAGGTTTCCTGACATCCGATTTGAACACGTGGCATACTCTGAATGCAATGACAAGGACACCACGGGATCCAAAGCTCCAGAGGTTTTTCTTTTTCTCCCGCTAGAGTATTCCCATTGCACAAAGAAGGATTTTGATTCTACTCTTAGACTTCTCTCGGAAAAAGAACACATTTTTATTTCTAATCATAATTATGGCTGAACGTGCATGATGAGGTACCAGCAGCGGCATGGTCTTTCATCGACCGCATAAAGAACAACTTTTTGTAAGAAAGATACTTATCAGGTTTTGTTCTTGAAGATCGGCAGCATTCATGGATAACGTGCCAAATGTCAATAAATTGTGGCAATGGTGGTCCAGCCAGACTCCGATTTCTGTTCGATGAGAAGACCTTTGGTTAAATGATGCAACACTCAGTGCACTCTTGATTTGGCTCCCCCATAATCAAGCATATGTTTATGAAACAGTTCATGTAGTTTTTGGAAGCTTCAGAACCACCACGTCAGATCGGAATGCTACCTTCCCTGAGACGGACCCACCGGGATGGCGGTCCGTCAGGATCAAGGCGAAGGGATGAGGATGAAGGAGATGGAGATGGAGATGGAGCTGGAAGGCAGACTCAACACGCAGGTACTCCAAACTGTGCAAAGTGAAGAATGAATCGAAAGACAGACTGCAACTGTGGTATACCCCCAACGGACTGACTGGACTGGACTGGACTGGACTGGTACCGACAGTGGTACCTGGCAGGACTGGACTGGACTGAATGAATACAGGGCATGTGGGGTCAGGCCACGGCTGGTCCCACAGGCCGAACAGGGAAAATAGCCAAATAGTCCTGGCTGTGGGCCAAGGCAGCTAGAGGCCCGCTGCACGATCCTCAGACCTGTAGTGGATCACAAGACACGCTTTTGCAAAAGCAGTGGAACTCCGCAACAATAAAGCTGAGAAATCTAGGATGCAGAGCAAGCTCCATCATCAATGGGACACTGGACCCGCTCTGCAGCCGCCAAACCACCACTTACTCACAACCCCGTTATCTGTAGGAGATCAATGCATTAGCAAGGTGCTTCATTAGAAATCACAGTTAAATGTGGCGGCTTCAGTAGCCTAAGAGGTCTTTACTGTAGCCAATTCATCTTCTAGCACAGAGAAGTGATTGAAACAGCCAGACTAGATTGTCAAACAGGGAGGGTGGACCCCATTTCCAGCACTGAAAAAAGTACATTTCCCAGCCGACCATTTTTTCAGAGTAGTGGTGTGCATGCTGCCGCGGCTCCAGCAGTACCAGGTCACTGGATATCCATCCAGGCAAAACGGGTCGCATGCCAGACCGTTTTGCCTGAATGGATATTGGATATCTCGCGAAACGCCGCACTGGTAATTCCCGAAAGTTCCGGCTATGTATACGCACCCCATATTTGACTTCTGGCGGGAGAAAGTACTGGTGGATCATCTATAGTAAAAGGGACGCTGGACCCGTTTTCCAGCAGGTGCAGCTCCCCACCAATAGACAGGAGTCACCAACCAGTGCTGTCTCAACCTTGGTGATTCTCCTGTCATCCTAAGGTTGCAGACAAGCTGCAATATGTTCAACCAAAAAGTAAGAACAAAAAAAAGAAGAAGGAACGATACAGAGAGGATTGGCATGGCCCTGCACAAGGATGACACACATAAATCGAAAAATGGTCCATTTTTTAACAAAAGAGAGAGAGAAATATCTGAACAACTCCGGGTTCTCGGCGAGGTTTCCCAGCCTCATCTCAGTATTTGACTGAAAACAATTAGAATGTTGTGTTGGGACAGAAAAACAAAATAGGGGCACTGTAGCTAGATTAGGAACTAGGATAGGAAGAAGACTCTCATTAGGTGCAGGAGCCTGTTAGGCAGATGAGTAGGCTAGTCTAGTAGGTATTCAGGTGCTGTATTCTATTTCAGGTTTGAGGAGCCTGTTAGGCAGATGAGTAGGCTAGTCTAGTAGGTATTCAGGTGCTGTATTCTATTTCAGGTTTGTGAGGCTTTGTAGCCCGTGTGGGTGATTGTTAGTAGAGGAAGGGCTCAGAATAGCTGAGCCAGGGTGGCCAATTTTAGGCTTGTTTTGGCTTTTCTGTCCAAGTGGAGCTCCTTTTCTTGGTGGGTTATGGTTTGTGAGAGGTTTTCTGGCCTGTGGCAGTTTGATTCCAGGGTTGGGAGTTATCAGGACAGCGGTCTGGTTTTGGCCATTTCTGCTCTGGATATGATCCCGACGCGTACACCTAATCTGGGTAATGGTCCCAGTACTCTGTTGTTTCTTTGTTCCCGGGTTGTTTATAGAGGTTTTCCCGGCCTCTCCTTTGGTGTGTGCAATCAAATGAGCTGAGTCTTTTTTGTGAAAAACAAAAACAAAAACAAAAAAGGTGTGAAAAACTGCCGACTGACCTTGGTGAAGTCGTCAATGGCCGCGTCGAGATTTCCGAGCTTTTCCCAGACCGAACCCCTCTGGAAGAGCGAATCCTGATTGGCCGGGTCATCCCTGATGATCTCCGTGTAATCTTCAATTGCCGCTGTCAGGTCACCCTTCTTTGCGTACGCTGACGCCCTGATGAATAGCGCTCGAGCATTGCCAGCGTGAGTCTCAAGCTTCTGCGTACACACAGCTATCAGTTTCTCCACGTCATCGTCGTTCTTCCGATAATAGTAAGTTCTATTCGGATGAGATTTGGCGGCTTCGTCCGTGGCCAGGAAGTCTTTTCTCTTATATAGCGCCCCCCTCACACCATCCAGATCTTGCAAACTGCTACCTGCCTCTGGATTCGAACTGCCTCCCTTCTCCGATCCCCCTGATCCGCTGAAATCCCGCTCATGCAAGATCACCACGGGCTTAGGAGCGGGTGACGTGGCACCATCTCGGCCCGTCCTGTTGCTCGAGCTAGCCATACCCTCCTCACTCCCACTCCAACCCTTCCTTCTACAATGACCTGGACCCACGTGACGGGACAAGGAAAGGATCCAGGTGGCGGAACAAGGATGCGACGAAGAAGGCAGCGGCGGGAAAACCTGTCAAAGTGGTAACTCGCTACTTTTCATTAGTCCAAAGAGGAGGGGAAGAAGTCAGAGACGGGAGGAGAGAAGAAGAGAGGAGGAGCAGAGGGCGAAGATAGGAGAGAAGGGAGAGGAGTTGGAAGAGAGACCAGAAGAGGGAGGAGACACGTGGCAGCTCGCGACTGTCTTTCCAATAATAGAATGGCACACGAGAAAGTCGATTTGCTGGAAGATCTGGTCTCTGGAACGACTGCTGATTAGTTCAAGATGGACGTGAACCAAAACGGATTCCCGAAAAGTCGAGACGAGGGGAGCAGAGGAGAGGCAGAGGGAGAGGAGTGGGGGAAGGAGAGCAGAGTGGGAGCCGATGAGACGCGTTGCACCAAACGGAAAAGAGTTCAGACAGCTCGCATCAAGCTCGACTTGTTGCAAGACACCTGATCTGGGATGATGACTTCCTAACCATGGACGTAACCAATCAATTCATCAATTCATCAATTCATCACTTCATCACTTCATCCATCCGTCGATTAATCAATCAATCAATCGATGGATCGATCAAGCAGATATCGAGCGATCGGTCGAGAACACTGATCGACCTTTTTTTAACCATGCAAGCGGGAGTGACGCACTCGTCTGATTACACAGTCCGAATAGATCGCATTTCAACTTTCAGATGTCGTGAGTTCAGAAAGTGTCTGATCCCAAGATTACAGAAAGACGACTGCTTTCTTAAGCAGACCCGAGGTAACGTTATCGCCAGATTCTTCTTAAGATGGCCTACGAAGTCATACAGGCTCATGCGAAAAACACGTTAGTGTTGCCGAGAGCGACAAGAATACGTATATTGCCAGACTCTTTCTCCACTTCTCTCTCTCTCCCTCCTCCCTCTCCTGCGCCCTCCTCGGAACTTATAAATGGGGAAAGGAAGAGAGGGGGGAAGGAGGGAGGGAGCGAAGGAGAGAGGGAGGGAGGAAGGAAATCAAGATTTGGCAAAGCAACAAACAAGGTGAACCCCGACGACAAAGGACCAGAAGGGGGGACAAGAAGAGTATGGGCCAGACAGAGTGTCGAGGAAAACGCTCTCCTCTTCCCAAATATGAACAACGGGCAAAATCCGACCGGGGCGCACACTGCAATCAAATACTCTCCCCTTTTACAAAATTTCCATTCATCACCTTGCAAATAACACTCTTTCACCCCCCCCCCCCCCCTTCGCTTACGCCCCTTCCCGTCCTCCGCCTACCCACAGAACAAGGCCTCGATCCCAGCGCACATCCATCAACATTTGCCGCTATGGAACGTGTTAAAGCGTGCGTCACTCCTGCTGGGGTTGACGACAACGCAAATAGCACAACAACATAGGCTTAACAGACATTCTTCTCTGCCCATTTACTGATTGAAGCGAAGAGAACTAACTAACTATCTTCTTCCTCCGCAACCCCCCGGGTCCCCGCCACATATTGAATCTCCGGTGATCATAGCGGTATTTGTGCAACTTTAGGACCGGATACAGATGTAATGACCAGGCGTTCTGTTCAGGAGAAGGCAATAGGAATCAATATTTCGGTCAATCACTCACAATCGATTAATTTTGTTCAACAATAGATCGTCATCGATGGACACACCCTTCTCAGTCCTCGATAAATCGGTTGATAAAATGGTTGAACAACAATCGATTGATTGATTGCTCAATTGATTGATTCAGTGAGTGATATATAACATTGATATATAAGATATTGATATGATAAAATATTTATATATTTCGGAATAGTGATATAGATGCAAAAGGTATATAGATCTACAAAAAATATATATATATATAATATAATAAAATTATGAATTATAAAAGATTCATATTGCAAATTGTTAAAAATATTGCATTAAATTATGTATTATACCATGTAATTTAAAATAAACCAAAATAGTAAATAAATAAAAGAATATATTCTTTATAACATAAACAATCAAATATGATAATAAAAATCCCATAGAACAAGAAAAATATGAAATAATTCATAATAAGACGAAGAACTTTATATATAAAAATAGGATAAGAATGTTATTATTGATTATTTGATATAGAAGATACTATGTTCTCTATAATATTTCTAATTTGTGATTGATTGATTGATTGATTGATTGTTTGATCGATTGATCGATTGATCGATTGATCGATTGATCGAGAGCCTCGCTGATCGATTGAGCGATTGACTCACTGATCGATTGATACACTCAGCGATCGATTTATAGATTGACTCACTGATCGATTGATATATTAACTCATTGATCAATTGGTCAATATGTTGATCAGTCGAGTGATTGACTGATCGACTGTCAGTGATCACTTGATCGGTCGTTAATTGATAGCGAACACTTACTGCTTGCCTTCAAACACGCGATCAGAAATGGATATAGTTCGTAAGTAATATTACAACGATCAACCTTCACCACGCGGGCAGTGAATACTGAAGAAGAGAGGCCCCTTCAACATGCGGGAGGATTTCATCCCGTTGGTAACTACAACGAGCACACTTCAAACTACGGAAGGGCAATCCCTAGACAGATGTATATTATCGGACGTGAGGAGGGTGAAGGCAAAAGTGAGTGTCTTGTTGGGCATGCAATCGTCCAAGTTGAAATCCAAAGCCATTGGTTTGATTAAACTGCTCGTAAGTGTCGCCAGCCACAGCCATTCTGGACAACAAGCATACAGGCAGTGAAATCAAACCAACCACGCGCGGAAAATCCTTTGAGGCCAGCGAACTCGGACGTTCTTTCCTTGATTGAGAGCCCCAACGAAGTGCCTAGACGAAGCTCGACCCGAGAGCATAGCGGGTAACAGAGTCATTCACCATCTTCCAGCCGACGCTGACATCCACCTAACGACTCTCTCTCTCTCTCTCTCTCTCTCTCTCTCTCTCTCTCTCTCTCTCTCTCTCTCTC